GGAGTTAAGTAGTGAGAAAGAAAAGTTTCTGAAAGAATTCAGGATGTTTTATTGTATGAAATAGTTATGGATCAACCATTTTAGATTTGTTGTTGACCATTAATGAAGATATAGTTACTAGAGTTGAAATGGAGAAAACTTTGGAGAAGAGTGATCATTATATAATTAGGTTTAAGGTTTTTCTCTCAGGTTGACATTTAAAAAATTTAAGTTTCTAATTTTCAAAGTGCTAATTCTTGAGACTATGAGACAAGATTTTTCATTATTTAACTGAGATAAGAAATTATGCAAGACAGATTTTTTTCATTGCTTGTAATTCAAAATAGGCATATTTCTAAAAAGAAGAAAAAAGATAAAACCTTACTTAGGACAGGAAGGAGAAAATCAGGGATAGATACTGTGAGCTCAAAAAAGAAATTAGGGAACCAAAAACTGCTTACAAAAAGCATCTGGCTCGTAATATTAAACAGCAAGTATTTTCATTAAGTATGTTAATGGTAAGAATATTAGTATCATTGTTTGTATTTACTTATAATAAAAAATCACAAAGATTATTGTCACAGTGTGATAATTGTAACAGTAGTTAGGCATCTTATGTTTAACAGTGAATATTTGGGACCGTTACACTTCCACAATTGGATTTTTTTAGAGAAAATAAGAATCGGCAGAAATATTTTTCAGTGTTGTGTTATTCACATACGAGGCAGGATTTATTTCATTACCAATTATTGATGTTTTTTTGTCTGAAAAGTCAGAAATCAACAATATGTTTAGTGTTCAGTATAGCCTGGAAGAAAGCATACAGAAAATGAAAATTATATGCTTGTGCTTACATACTGAAGTACATAGCACACACACAGGTTCTTATACATCGGTTGAAAAGGTCAGAGATACCCTCCCCAGTGCTATCATGACAGGGTGCCACACAGTTTAGTTACAAGCATGATTAAAAGTTGTAACTTCATGCTGCTTTAGATCAAATGTATACTACAGTATGTAAAAGTGTAGGACCTTACACTGTACATTTGATTTTACCTTTGGTTAACCAATATTCGTTAATCTTTGAAACCACTACCAAAGTAAGTGAATTTATTACAGTCAAGTTCTATTATCAAATTTTCAAAAAACTTGCAAGTAATTGCAAAATAAGAATGTCACATTCCTTTTCTCAAAAATTCTCAAAGTAATAAGTTTTCTACTTAATTTTAAGACTTCAGATCCTTTCCAACTCATGTATCTCTATATGCAAAAAATAGCTTAAAACTGTTAGTCAGTAAATGTGATATATAATAAAGCTAGTAATTCTCATTTCCTCTATGTTTGAATATGTAAGTAGCACTCATATTAAATTCTTGTAATGATTGTGTGTTAGTCTGCATGGATTGTAATTTATACACATATGTTATTCTGAAATTTTTTCTCACATTCAAAACTTGTTATTAAAATAAACTCCTCTAGCACATTTCTTATATTAGTTTATTATGAAATATATATATATGTACATGTATAAACTGCATTGGGTACCCTGCAACTGTATAATTGGTCTATAAATAATTCCAAAAAAATATGCAAAGTTAGGAACAATAGTACAGCTGAATATTTGTTCATAGAAAATTAATGTACTTAAAATGAATACATAAAACAAATACAAACCTCATGGGTAATATAAAAAAAATTATAAAAAATAATGTTAGCCAAATTGAATTGTATTTACTGTGATTTTGTATAACTAAAAGAACAATTAATACACATAGAAACAAACACTGATAACATTATTTCAATCTATTCTATATTTGTGTTGAATTAGTTTCTTTATTGAAAGTTAGAAGATACTAATTATAAGGTTTAAATTTTATATTGTGTTTGATTTAACCAAACTATCATTATTCAACTGAATATTAGATTTAATTGCACCAAAGAACTTATCAATCTTGTGTGATGAAACTTGTGATACCAAGTTTACAAGAATCAACCTTCTATGTACAAAGGCTATAATCCTTGTGACATGTATGAATATAGTAAGAATTATAGAATCCTATAGTTGAAGATCTGCCACAGGAAGAGCACTTAGCCAATCAAATGCTATGACATATAGATAGTATATTAGAGACAGTTTATACAGATAGTGAAACTTAGTTAAAATCATTTGGTCATACGTAGATATATATTGTTTATTCTCTTGCCCATGATGTAATAACATTGAATATGATTGTTTTGATAGTCCATAAGTTGTGTCCAGGGAGCCATCAATATACCTGTTACATTTTTACTAAATGTGACAAGTTAATTTAGTTAGATCCTAACTCTGTCTACTTCAAATTTGAGGCTATTTGGTTCTTGAGGCTTCGACTACATATAGTAATAAAACTGATTTATGCATTGGATCCTGTGCAGTAAATTAACAGTGAGTCTGAAGTAAAATCATTTCAGCTCTAATGTTTGTTTGGTTTAAGGACAATTTACTATGAAATTGTATCCCTTTAATTTTTTTAGTGCATCTAGCCTATATTTACACTATGTTAATTTCAAAATTGAAGAAAATATTTAAAAAACAATAGGATATACATGAATATGTGAATAATTATTACTTTTTCTTGATGAAAGCATGAATGTACATCTAAAAATGTATGCATCAGTTGTACCAATTAATATATTATGTTATAAAACTGCATACATTATTTGTAAAAGGCTCTATTTGAAATTAATGAATTTTTGAATATTTTTAGAACTGGACAATTAGTAGGATTTGCCAACCTGTTAATCAATGGCCCCATTAATTGATTACATTTGATTAATCAATTAGTATTGCATTCCTCAAAGCATGATATGTATGAGAAAAAAATAGCCATGGGTGCTACCTACCAGTTGCCTTCACTCTAGTAAGTGGTTAAAAAAGAAAAAAAGAAAAGTTGGTGCTAGCTATTAGTCTTTCCACTAGTCAGCAGTTCCAAGATAACACACACCTCCTCACACAGAAAGCTATCTTTGCCGTGCATCTGCCTTAGAGATTTGCATGCCACTAGCCTTTAGGCAACTCCCACCTGTTCTGACACATTTTCTCATGAATTGCACAACTGCATAATGGTGTTATTATGCAGCAAAAGCCTTCTACCAATAGGAGGGCAACACAATCTCTCTGTGCACTAACTCCTTCTATGCTATTAGCACTCGTGAATTTTCATTCTTTTCCTCAGCACTGAACACATCAAACATGTTGTTTTCTTTGTCAACTTAACAAAATCTGTGATGATTAGGGAACTTAATTTCTTTCTTCAAACTATGAACACACTAGTTCATGTAATGTCTTCTACTATTTGTATGAGTGACTAATTTCCTCACACAGATTATGTAACAATTATAATTTATGGAGGCATGTTCCCTGGGGATGATGTAGTGGCCATTGTGAATAGGATAGTGGGTTCCCTTATGCAGCCAGAACCTTCAGCTCCAGTCACATCTTCATATATTCCTTCCTCTCATTTTGTAGGGAGAATGGATAGGACAAATTTGCTTGTTCCTTCACCTGGTTATACTTTGGGAACTTCTCTTCCTATTGAAGAGCAACCTTAAACTTGCTTCTATTCTCAGGACTTAATTTCTCAGGTATGCACCATTCTTTTTTTCCCCCCTGTATCATATTCTTCGTCTTGTTTCCTATTTCTTAATCTTAACCCTAACTCATTTTGTTTACCATTTCTGGGGCACTTACATTTTCACAACCTCAAGCCTTGCCCTCCCCATCTATCTGATCCTTATTTCTGTGTTTTTAGTCATTCTACATCTCCTTTTATGATTCTCACATTTAGGATTGCCCTTATCTGTTAGAGAAAAAGAGCATGGACTATTTGGTGTCAGTTTACTCTCCAGTACCCAATAATCTTGATTTTATGATTAATCTCTTCTGATCATCTTTCTCCATCCCTTGGTCCTGGCTTTTGCTGCTTTCTGCCAGGTTTGGTCTTATATTTGTCATAATACCCGCCTTTCCATCTTTTACCTCGGGTCGTGGCCTTCACTCAAGACACTCCTTATCATGCCCTTTTGGTGGTACCCCTCTGGCTGGCTTGAACTTGGTTTGTTTCTATGCCACCCTACCAATTATACATTCTGTTGCTTCAACATTTCTTTCCATCAAGGGATCTTGTCCTTCTTCTTTCATATTTGAATTTGTGCAGTCCATTGCCCATTGAACCATATTTTCCAATCTGGTAATCTTTTCATCTCCTGTTCCGAGCATTTTTCTGCCTGGTCCATCTACCCAAATAAGGGATGTGGTTTTCAACATTGGTCCACCTGTTGCCACCTTCCTCCTGATCCTCCTACCGTTGGACATCTCCATTCCTTTTACTTGGTTGTTCAACGGGGTTCACCTGTCTCCACTATTGCCAGTTATTGGGTGGCCTTGTCTTCAACATTTCACCTTTCTCAATACCACAGAATGCCCCCTTCTCTTCATCTTATTCTGATTCTTCCTTATCCATAGACCACTTGAGGTATCCTCATGGTATCTGACTACTGTCTAATCTACACCATACCTATTCAATGGACTATCATGAAAAAGCCAGCACCAGGGGGTGCTCTGCCTTCTTCCCTGGCTCATGCTTGCTAACTTTTCAAAATAGGGTTAAGAGGTCACCTGTTGCACTGTCTCCAGTAAAAGACCTTTCTGGCTGAAATAGGACCTATGGAATTAATTGTAATTTTTATTAATCAGTTAGTTTATGTAACGTTAATCAGTATAATCATTGCTTACATCTAATCATATATATCAATTAAATTATTAAGTTGCCCAACTCTAGTATCTTGTAAACAAATTTTAAAAGCTTATTAAAAATATTGGTTTCTTAGACAGGCATTAATTTAACATTTAATCAGTGAAATTGTTTTATTCATCTCTGCATTGTACATTAAATGCTATAATAGTATGTTTACCAAACTTGGCATGAATTATGTACAGTAGTGTATGTAAGAGATGTATCTTGAGTTTCCTAATCTTTCAGCCATGGATTACACCAGAAATCTGGAAGGAAATTCGAAAGAAATATGAACTTCAAAAAGTAGCAAGAGAAAGTGGTACAGCACAGGCTTGGAGAACATTCAAGATTCAAAGAAATCGTGTAGCCAGTCTGTTGAGGGATTCCAAAGTTCGACTTGGTTTTCCTCGAGGTGGTTCAAAAGTATGTAAACATTTTTATTATTTAAATTCACAAAACTTGCAAGAGAAACACACTGATAAAATCAAAAAGCAGCAAAATAAAGAACAGTGAGTATAATGCCATTTTTGCTCTTAATGCAATTTTCCAGTGAACAAGATTTATCTCTAGGATGTTACTAATGGCTTCAGATGTTTGAGGTTTGCAACTGCAATAAATATATTTTTTCTAGATCATTTTGGATGATGAAAACTGAGATTTCTGGAGTATAGTTCCACAGTGTTGTTCCTAGGTTCTACAGTTTAAGGGACCTATGTCCCCTCATATCAGAATAAAGGGGACACAGTGGAAATTTTGACAGACACCTTTGAGACATATTAAAAAATATTCTGAGGGTAAAACTTTATATTTAGTTGATGGAATAGGATTGTGTTAGTACTTTTTTGCTAGTACTTCCAATTAAACAAGTTATTGTTACAATTCTGCAACACTTTTTAAGTTTTCAAAGTGAAATCTGTGTGTATGTGGCACATTAGACATATTTAAATTAGCTTTGCTCAACCCAGAACATTATGAGTGGACTTATCACTAGCACATTAATATTAACATCACAAGGAGTAGTTCATAAGTACTCTTCAGTTATATTAATACAGTAATTTTGTTTCTGTTCTATTACTTGTCAGTAATGTAAGTCATGCTACAAATGATCTTATCCTATATTTACTTCCTTTTATGAGTAGAGTTACAATAATGAGCCATAAACAATGCAAAGAAATGTAAAAATATTCATGCACCTAGCCATGATCTGTGTAGCTGGCACATGGAGGTGTGGCTTGCCGATGTGATAGCCTAATGTTTAGCTTCATTTTGGATCTAGTAGAATTCAAGGCTAGTGACCCTATGAATGGTCAAAAGTGGTAAAATGAATGTATTCATGTTTACTACTTAAAACATGCATCAGAAAGACTTGTTCATTAGAATATAGGCTTACTCATGGAAATTTGTGTTCCACAGGTCAAAATCTCAGATGCATCACTGAGTCCACAATGTGCTGTTTTAAAGGAGGCACACTTCAAAAAAATGCAGGATTTCCATGATCCCACTCTCTTGGAACATCACTGTTTTATGTATTAATTTGTTTGTTACTGAAAGTAGTTTTTAGTTGTAGTAAAGAGAAATATCTGTACCAAATTTCATGAAACATGTCCATTCTCAATCTTAATTATAATTTGGAAACTTTAGTGGTAGGGTTAGTTATCTTTATATTACAACTACATACTTTTTCTGTTTTGTTTTTAATTTTTAATAGTCCACTTTCTGTTTATTATTTTTAAGCTCTTTTGAAGTAGTGTTGTAGAATAAGTGTCTTACCTAGATGCATAAATTGCCCAGACCTTTATATTTATGTGTGAGATAGATTATATAAGTTACTACAGTAGTAGTACATTTTCAGGGACATTTATCCTATGAAACTGAAATAGTTGGTAATTTACCTTATTTTTATTTTCTAAAAAACAAAAACAATGCTCTCTTTTTTCTGCTAAGTACCAGAACCACAACTTCATAACTGCAATATCTTGGAAACTCTGTGAAAATATCCTCTTGACAAACATCACATTGTTGATCATTATGAATGTCATGTTACATTATTATTCACTCTCTTTTTATGCAGAGATTACAACCTTTGTATTCAAAAGAGTCAAACTCAATGGAAATTTAGAGCAAAGAATCAATTGTTATAGGAAGTCAAATGACGTACGTGTCAATATACATATACCCACATAATTTATTTACTCTAAAGTGGAATGTAGAAAAATCCAAAGAAAATTTAAGTTGGTTACTTAACAAGACTACAAGCACCAATAAGAGCAGAGGTTAGGTGCATCTTAAAGAATGGAGAGGTAGATGAGTGAACCCGTGGTACATTTGTGAGGATGTTATTAGCTACTTAGTACATTTTGCTTTATTTGTGTGTGTGTGACCAAGAGCCATATTTTGTCATTCACAGATGATTTGCCACAGGTTGCCAACCCTGGATCTCCTTGCTACAAACCAAATGCATAAACTGAATCAAACCACTGAAAGTCAGCCAGCTTATAGTTCTGATTTTTGTAATCTCATAGAGTTTGTTCTGTTTTTGATAGGTGATATGAAATATTAGCTTCACTAAAATGTATTAGTATTTTTTCTTTTTTAATAAATATAGAATTTTCTGGAAAAACATTATAAACATAAGACTACCTTGAAAAATACATATTTTACCATATATTAACCTCTGAGGCTTATTATTTTAACAATAATGTTAGAAAATAATGTCTCTCTTAATGTAGAGACTGTTGTAGAATATTGATAAAGAAGCAAAATCTTTGGTTATTTTGAATCCACAGTTTTAATATGTTTTTGCCAGTTATTATGAACTTTTAGTTTTACAAAAGCACATGTTACTTGGAATGTTTCCTTTAGAAAATTAGGTCTGTAGACATTCTCTTAGTCAGTAGATTTAGGGGAAATGTATTTTTTTAACAAATTTGACCACTTATACATGTACGACAAACCCTAATAGTCAGTGTACAAGTAACTGGCTTGATGTTTTGCCTTTACATTTACTTATGATTTATTCATGTTAGAAGACAAATCTAATCTTAATTTCATTGTTATATCAAAGTTTGTGCATGATCAGTTTGGAAACATTTACTATGTTATTTTACTTTCATGAAACTATTGTAATTTAGTAATGACCTTTAAACCTAAGTATGCTTTACACTGACTGAATGTTGAGTTTTCAGTGCAAACAACTATAATTGTTAATATTGCATTATGTACACTTAATATACTCATTTAAAACATGGGGATGTCAGTGAGTGTCCCTAGGATTTGGCGGTAGTATAGGGGCTAGCTTTGAACACTGATTCCTTTGAGTCACTCATCAGGGGACCCTAAGAGTGCATATCAAGTTTGGTTGAGGTCAGGCAAAAACTATAGGCCTAAAAGCAGACATGCTGGGATGGGGATCAGATCTGAATGTAGACCCCTCTTGAAACTTAAGGTGCATGTCAAGTTTGTTACAGATCAGTCAACAAGTGTTGGCATGAAAATCAGACACCCCAATGACATTTTTGTTATATATATATAAATTTGCATATTGTAATATAAGCATGAAGTTTCTATATAGTCCTCCCCCTATTTTGGTAATAATCTTAGTTATAACTGTGTTACTTTGTCCAAATTATTACTTTGGTTGTGGTGATTTTTTTTTTTATTAATACAGGTCTATTATCATGTAATACTCTTTATCAGTTTAATGTAAAATACAAAAACCCCTGTGTGTATATACAACCAAACATATTGTTAACAGCAGAGTACCCAAGTAATAAAACAATGCATCACATCTTTACAAGTAAGAACAGTATATTTAATGAATTGTGTCCATTATTGTGTCAATTTTTATTTTTGATCTCAGTAGGAAGCTTGCTTTGATTGGAAGTTAGTATTAATCAATAAAATTTGACTCATGAAAGGGAAGCACTGTCTCATTAATTTGTTAATTGTTTTTAAACTTAAGTAAACATTTGAATTTTTTATAAACAGGGAAATAAACTGAACTTGGCAATGAAGAGAAGAGCTAAGAGGTGAGTAAGCTAGAAATTTTTTCTTTTGTTGAATTTTATGGAGATATCAAAATTGCTTTGGGAATTTTTCATATTAAAAAGATAAGTATTTGTTTTAGCAGTTTTGAGTCAAATTATGTAATTGAAGTAATTTTCAGAGTATTTGTAGCATAACTGGTTTTACATGCTAAATATCTTATATAATAATAATAATAAACAAATCTGATACAGGTAAAAATGCCTGTGTAATCCTCACTTTGATTGCATGTGTTTACAGTACATCATCCAGTCATTATTAACTACACAGTTACTTATTTATACTGAACTGCAAGTATAAATCTTCACTTTTATCGGACACTAAAGTGGCATTATAGTGCACTTTTTGAATTTTTCTGTTTACTAAAAATTTACAAGAGAAATTTAAAATACAATTTACTGGTATTTGCTGTTTTTTCTAAACAGTTAAAAAACAATATTATCTACTACTTATGCACTTTTTTCAATATATTGCTGAGGTTACATAGTGCTGCAGCTTCCATTAATTAAAAATAATATATTGAAAATATTACCACTGATGCTACCTGTAACAGTAAAGACTTTCTGAAATTTCGTTGACTGTAGGAAGTTTATTATTTTAAGCACTTTAAATCCTGTTTCAAATAAAAGTAATTAACAATAATGAATTAGTAATTCAATGTCATCACAAATTTATTACATAAAGTTTGATAATTAAACTTATTAGTGATATGAATAATGATAGCGAACTTAATACATTACAAAAGTAATGAAACCTTTGTCTATTCTGTTTAAAGTAGAGATACTACTAAGTTGAATAGATTAGTAATTGAGTTATAATTTTGCAAAATAATCACTTTTCACTTTTTTCCATTTTTAACACAAACTATTAATTCAAGGTGGTAGTTGTGATTCTGTATTGATACTGCACTTCAGCTGATCAATTATTAATTGAATATTGTCCATCAATTAAACAAAAAAAACAAATTGTTCTTTCATATAGTTTTATAAACTGTATTTAAGAAGACAAACTTTAATTGGCCCTTTGAACATGCCATTGTTTTTTCTATATCTACTATCTGGAATCATTCCCACATTTACCCATCTTCTCAGGCTGTTCTTCATCATCATCATCATCTTCTGTAAGTGTGTCAATCTCAGAAAACTTTGGTCTCAAGAGAAGTTTCAGACTCACTTTCAAGTCAGACATTCAAAGTGGGTAACATTTGAAATCTTTACTGTCAACAGTAAGTATAGTTTATACTCCACTGACATTCTCTTCTGGGAAAAGAAACTTTTCCATCTGTGCAGGACCCACAATATTTCTTGTCATGTGAATTGGGTGAAGTACAGATTTATAAAATATCTTGAGAGCATCAAGGGTTTGTTTCTCTTCAGAACTACTGACTAGGGAAGTAGGTAATTCCAATACGGTACATTACCTCTTCTCACGTAAATAGCTATTCTTGTTCAGTGCTGCCCTCTATATGCAAAACAAAATTTGCACGCCACGACCTTCGAAAATCCCACCCATCTGGAATTGACTAATTCCAATGCATTTTGCATGCAAATTATCATGCAACAAACCTCCACCAATAAGAGCGCAACACACACGCATGACGCATGTGACTCCTTCTATTCAATTCTGCTGAACTATAACTTCTTGTTTGGCAGTACTTGTGTTATAACATTTACTTTGTGCTCTCTTCAAGTGTTTTATTTTAATTTTTTTCTGTATCTTTGTATTAATTTCTCTCAACAAGTTTACTCTTTATTATACAATGGTAATATTTTTAACTTACTGAGTTATTCTGAAGTGGAATTATCTTAGCTTTCTACCCAGTTATGGAACTTATTACTTCATTACAAAAACTTATTTGTTTCTGCTGACACAGTTATATTTGGTTATTCATTTTGCATTATGAATTCTACAATACCACTTTGGAGGTTATATATTCTATTAGCACATTTAGGCTTCAGATCATGGTACTCTACAGTAAGTTTTGTGCCTTGAACTTTGGACTTGTTTTGGTTCCATATGTCTTTTGTGGGGCAGTCTGCATATTACCCAACTTCCTCAGTTAGAGGATTTTACCAACACCATTTATTGGATATCTAGCTTCGGTTAGCTCCTTCCAAACAGGGGTAGTCTTAACATACTCTTCTACTCCTTCCACAGTTGGCTCAGGTAGTTAGATTTTCCAGTTGGATAAGTTTTTCCTGTTACATACCCCACGTTCTAGTCTCCTTGAGGTATGTATTTTTAAACATCACCTCCCTTCTCCTCTTTGTATGCATTAAAAAATGTTTTCTGTTATCTGAGTCTTTCCTTTGGGTTTTCCTCTGAATTTTCATCCTTCCTTTTTGTTTATATGCGTTGATGGTTGAACATATCCCCCAGGATGTCAGGCTTACCGGTTCCTCCTCCTCTTCTGGATTGTTTCTCTTCCTTGATGCTCATCTCCAAAGGTGAGGGTTGTGGTTCTATCAGTAGGAGGCTTCAGAATAATGGTCTACAGTCAAACGGTCTTATCCCTCTCACACCCGGGCACTTCTGCCTGTCCAAGATGCTTTAGTTCACACTTTTCTTTTTGTCCAGTTTGACTAATCCTGTTTCATTTCAAATTTTTGACAGTGGTGGTTTATATCACTCTCCAAGGCGACATTCCATCTTGTTCTCTTTGAGGTTAACAGTGGATTTTTTTTTTACCCAAACACTTGACATATGTCTCCTGGAGGGTCATGTTTCAGGTGCTTTGTCTTCATTTGCTAATTGAATTTCTGGTCCTGACACACTTTCTCCCAAGGAGTGACCTCTCAATCCTCCTAATGTCTGGTGGCTCTGCCTCGTATGAGGTACTCTTCCATGTGAAGTTTTGAATATTTTATCAATTCTTAGTTAGTTACCTCTTTTGTTTTTGGTCTCTGATTCATCATCCACTTGCCCTGGCTGTCATTATGTTCATATAGGTTTACATTAGTTTTTTTCTCATTCAATCAGTCTTCTTCCCCAAATTTTTGTGTCCATGTCACTCCAGTTCAGGTCTTTCTGACTGATCTTTCCTGGCTGGCACTGCTTTGGTTATCTCGGCTGTTTCAGCTCAATTTGTATTGAATATATTGGTATGGTCTGCTTTTCAAAATAGAGTTTTGTGGTCACCCATTGCACTATCTTTGGTGTTGTCATTCCTCTGGCTTCTCCACTGCATTTTCTCCCCCCTCTTTTCTTCTAGTGGAATGGGAGAGTCCTTACCACTCTCCAGTTCCAAGCCATTAGCATAGTAGACTGTAGATGCATCCTCCTGAATGTGTTAATGTAATACAAATAAAATATATATATATATATGATTATAAAACCACTCAATTGAGAGTAGGCCAGTGGTGTTCTGCTGGGGTACATGACGAGATATCCTCCAGTGGCTGGATTTTGGAGTTAGAGGTGAACCAATCAACATAAGTCCTCACATATGTATCACAGATGTGTCTATTCCCTTACTCATTTATTCTCGTGTTGTGGGTCACGGTGGAGGTACTTGCTGATTACTACGGTTCTTCCTCTTCTGCTATCCTTCATTGCTTATTATACCGAGGATGTTATTGCACTTGGAGCAGTTCTGGTCATTATGTATTTCAGTGAGATGGTTTACATTACATAGACATATTTTCGATTTCAGGTTCTTGGATTGATCATTCAATTTCTTACACTGTTATCATGTGCCCCATTCATATGTCAGGGAGTACGAGATTCCCTCTGGTCTCATGAACTTGAGGTAAAGATGGTATGATCCTCTTTCCTACTCCCACCAGATGGCTGGGTTTTGGATTGTAGTTGACTTGCCACCAATATGATCCTCTTTCTTACCCCCATTTGGATGTCCGTTCCCGATAGCCTGGGTTTTGGATTGTAGTTGATTTACCGACGGTATGATCCTCATCCTACCCCTGTGTTGATGTCGGCTCCCAGAGGCATGGGTTTCGGATGTAGTTGATTTGTCGTGTACAGTCTGTCACACCCTAGCCACTCTAAACCTAGGAGCACATCCTTTAATCTTACCTACTTTTATATTTTCTTGGATTGAGTTTAATAAATAATGTATGGTTTAGATCACTATCCTGCCCTAATTCTCTCCCATTTGGATGTGCTCTTCCATCTTTCTGCTCATACATGCAACATCTTTCCACAATGGGTGAAGAGTATATCTGGTTCAGAAGTAGTGTAGTCTCATACGTATGATCTTCGACTCTGAAGATCTCCTTTTGGAGAGTGTCCTTCAGACGCTTTTGAAGGATGCTTCTTTCTTTCCGTTGCACTGGTTCCTCCACCTATTCAGTGTGGGATTTTAGGTATTTATGTGAGTGCAGGTAATGTACCATATCAGAAGTAATAATTCTCCTATACTGAAAAGGTATTTCCCATAGGTACTTACCTCTTCTTACACTTCCCACCCTTCCTCCCCACATTATCTACCAACACTCGAAGTGATAGTTTGGTAAAATTTAATAGAGGGAGTCACACGCATAAATAGAGTGTGTCGCTCTCTTATTGATGGACGGTTGTTGCAAGATAATTTGCATGCGAGACATATTGGAATTAGTCAATTCCAGATGGGTGGGAGTGTCAAAGCTTGTGGCATGGGCAAAACAATTTTTGTATACAGAGGGCAACACTGAATGAAAATAACTATTTATGTAAGAGGAGGTAAGTACCTCTTGGAAATATATTTTCAGTACAGGAAAATTATAACCATGTTCACTGACATCCAGAAGGAAAAAAACAGAATTGAACAATTAATTAAGATTGTCTGTGAAAAACAAAAAATGTGATTTACCTTGCAAGTTTTGTCCAATCAAGGCCCAAGTACTGAATAATGATGGCTTCTGGTTGAGTTGATGAAAAGGGACAAGTTTTGAAATTTCAATAAAAGGATAACCATCCCCTTGAATCAGATACAACAAGAATGAGGTTTTCTGCATCATTCAGTGATCTGGTAAAATACTTAATAGGT